TGCAGGTGACAAAGGATTCTGTACCAAAGAGATTGTTAAATATGATGAACTTATAATCTGTCATCTTGTATTCTGTCATGGACATATCCTTGCAAATGCTTCTGATGTTATTTATGTGTTGAACAAATTAAATAAACATGCAGTGGCACACTTCTCATTTTTTATTGTCTCTTGTGTACGTTTTGGTGACATTGCAGGCTTTTTCTACACTGTCAAAAATGAAGCCGCTCTAACTCACTGTCTATAGAAAAGTCTCTTACTTCTTGCCCTGCAAAGAGGGTTTAACAGAAGAATTACATTAAGTCCTAATGCTACTGAGTTTGTCTCATTTTTGTGTACTATATGATAGACCCAAACCTGACAACTTTTATGTTAGAATGGTTTGTTAAACACAAAGGAAAGATACATTTGTATCTGTCTTTATGTGCAAATTTGATATTGGTCATGCGTAATAAGCAGGGTTTTTTACTCATATTTCATATAGAAAGCATTCTTAAAACAGACGGCTATCCAATATGATATATGTCCATTACTACACCTGATTGTTGTAATAGTTTGTACATTTACAGAGACGAATACAAACCATCTATTATCTCAAAATTATTGTTGAAAATACGATAATATATTAAACAGCTTTCACTTTAGTTTAAGTCATTACTGTTTTTAAATACTTGAATGTGATGAAGAACCTTTCGTATCTTTTTGATATTCCGATAAAATCTTTGACTTTTTTTGGACAAATCTTGTCAAAAAATTAAAAAAGGATTCATGAGTCTCAGACAATGGTGATGTTAAACACACCGGACCAAGATAGTTTTTGCATTTACTGTGCCCTTTGCTGCAGACGGCTCACTGTAAAACAAGAGGGACATTTCAGCGTGCTAGGCGGCAGCATAAGAGCCGAGATGTTTATCTTTGACACGCACTGTACTGAAAGATAAAACAGAATAATGTCTGTATGTGTTCCTAGAATCTCTGAGAGTTACATAAACGCACAATAAATTCTGTCTTTTTAATACAGTAGTTCAGTGTGTTCACAATCATCACATTTCCAGTTAGAAGACTTGTATGCAAATCATTTTAATCCCTTTATACGCTTTGCTAAAAAGGATTCAAAATGCCTCAAAAGATACACCGTGGAACAACATCTTATCTTGTTTACAGAACATTTTCCTGGTACGCTGAGGAACTGGAGAATTGCATTTACGATCTGTTTCGGATCCAAACTGTATGGCGGTGATATTAAGGCCCATTAGCAGCCTCTATTCAAAGCCACAGCCCCAATCTATCTGATGAATTATGCATTGGTCTGGATACGGAGTGCACTAATTGATTCAAACCATCCATCACTTGTATTAAAAACCTCACTGTACTTAGCCTCAGCAGGTACAGATATTATCTCAGACGCTGCTTGAACAAGAATCTGTGTAATGATCCTTTTCTTTTACTCAATCCCTGCTATGCTGACCAACGCCATATAGTCAATTTAATAGAAAAGTGTTGTGCATATACACACCACCAATATTTATCAAGTAGAAATACATGCACTGTTTTCATCTCCCAGATGTCCTACAACCTGTAATATATGTAAAGATAGTTTATGTCTTGTACCATAGGATAAAATAGTTTAAGACATTTAGACTGACTGATTTTTTTAGCAATTTACATCACTGTTGCTGCAGCTAATCATTTGAAATCATATATAGAGTTTTACTAAATCAAATAAGACACTAACAGTTCATACAGTGTAAATAACCAATCATGTTAAACACTTTTTTATTTCTGGTTTCAAATTGGTTTTAAGTTTGTGTACAACTTGTACAACAACTTGGCTTTGCCGTATATGGACCAAATGCCATCCGCCTGATGTACAACACACCACTCGGCTTTAAGTGTTCCACTTGAACGTCGTCCTGTACAGAGAGGCCTCTCCCAGGCAGAAGGTCACTTTGTTCCTTGACCCTAAATGCTGTGCTCGTCCTCGGGGTGTACCTCCGTGACCTCCACTGCAGTCTCACTTGCTGCTTTAGACCCATCGTCCTCCTGCACTTCATCTGGGCAGTCCGCCCACCGCCCGACTCTTCTGACTTCCTCGCCCACTACCGGGGCATTAACACAGGGGTTGTGGTCATAGATGACAAGTTTCAACCCCTGCATATGAGACAGGCCGGGGAAGTAGCGTATTTTGTTCCGATCCACATCAATGACAGCTAAAAAGTGCATTTCCAGCAACACTGGTGGGAACGCTGCCAGTTGGTTCCCAGCAAGCCAGATACTTCGAAGCTCTTCCAGCCCTCTTAGCTCTGTTGGTAAACTCTCTATCTGGTTATAACCAAGATGCAGGGTCTTTAGATTAGGTAGCTCACAAACCACCTGTGGGAAAACAGTGAAGCAATTAGTCTCCAGCCACAGAGTATTAAGTTCCTTGAGGTCTCTCAGTTCTCTGGGGAGGCTGTAAAGCTTGTTGTTACCCAGGTAAAGGATGCTGAGCTGGGGCAATCTGCAAACAGCTGCAGGGAGCTCTTCGAAGCAGTTAAAGTCAAGGGCTAAGAGCTGCAGCTTCTTTAGGCCCTGCAGTTCAGCCGGTAAGCTGCTGAGGTTGTTGTCACTCAGGTAAAGCTTCACCAGCTCATCGAAGGCACAGGCAGCAACAGGCAGCCGACGCAACTGCCGGCTGCTCAGGTCCAGGGTCCGATCAAGCGGCATTTCCTTCAGGTCCCCCACGAGAAAGCGTTGACAGCGTTCTGAGGGAATGAAGGCAACGACGCCCCGCATGGCATTACCCATCTTGCCCAGTGTCTGATACACCACTGGTCCTCCACATCAACTGAGTTCCAGACAAGGGTTGCACTGAAGTAGGCTGTTGGCGTCTTCAAGTAAATTTCATGGCATCCCATTAATGCTCCACCACAGCCCCTCTGGAGTTATTGATCTTTAGAAAAACCAAACAAGTTTGCAACAATGTAATGCGTCTTTGTAATACTGCATCAGCATATGAAGCTGCATGTAGCTGCAATAACAGGATTATGATGCTGAATTACACCCTTTCATGTGATGAACACCATGAAAACAACAGTGAAAATAAGCATCACCATGAGAAAACAGAAAACATAATCAGCGTAAAGATAATCATAATTGAATATTGAAAACGCACCTACCTTTTAATGTTTTCCTCTTGCTGTCCATGACGCTCAGCATCTCCTTCAGTAAGACATTTGTTTATCCAACTTAATGGGCTGTAAACGTATTGTATTCCCTGAGCGGATAATCCCCAGTGCCGTCCTCTCACCATCTCTTAGTGGCTCTGAGCTTTGCCCTGACTTTCATGGAGATAGCAACAGCTAGCTACTCTCTCCTCCCTATTTGTGCCTAATGACTTTCCCCCCTTCTTCTCTGAGATGACAGAGGTGGGAGAGAGAGAGAGAGACAGGGAGGGGCAGGGTGCAAAGCTGAAGAAGTGCCTTGTGATGAAAGAGCAACGATGGTCATCTACATCCTGTTTTAATCCGCTCAGACGCAATTCTGGGTCTGTGCCACCTGGCCAGTCAAGTGGGCCTGTACTGTGGAATAATCTGAAGAATTTGCCAGTGTGCGCAGGGAGACCAACGGCGGAGTTTGCATGTATTTATAGTTCTGACTTGGATTGTAGTAATTAATTTAGTGTTTTTGCCGGGAGGGGAAATTAAGTTACAGGAAAAGTTGCAGAAAAACTAAGAGGTTTACTGAAGTTTGGTGGAGGGTGCTTGGCTCTGTAGATTTTGAAAGGACCACTTTTTAACTGTGTTGTCAATCATTGTGGAGTCAAGACTTTAGTGCCATAACCACTCTAAAAACCCTCCAAATGCAGGTGCTTTTGGTTTTCCATATTGTTTTAAAAGCGGAATATCATTTCCTATTTGTCTTTCCTGGGGGAAGTACTCCTGAACTGTCTGAGGTGTGAATTGTCCATGCTATCTTGCATACTTTCATTAGGGCTATTTTCCAACTATACAACCGAGAAGGAATTTCATTTTCCTTATCAGAGGGGATAATGTTTGCCCCTTGTCTGTTTTCACTCACTGACAGAACATTTTTAGCACTTGTCCTTCTCCTTATCCACTGCCTGGGGGCCTCAAACAGGCAACAGTAGGCCTACAACCCTGTAGAACCATGTGACTGCCACTATAGACCCTGTCCATGGCAGTACACTATAGTAGTCGATTCGCAAACAGCGAAGATGCTATCGTAACTCCAATCCAAATGTGGTAATTAAAGGACATGTGTATCAGTAACTAACAATTTGATTACTTTTTTCTTTGTGCTTTTTTTCTGTGCTGGGAGACTATTTGGCCCCAGATTTGCTGTGTGGTAGCATTATTAAAATCAGATTAAGAATATGCAACATGTAAGCTGAAGGTTATAAAACTACATTATTATCATAATTCAGAGCCCCTCTTCAAGGCTAAAGCCTGTATTATGTCAGCAGACATGTGTTTTAGTTGTGCCTACTACCAAACTAATGTGTAATCAATTAAGCACAAATCAGTTGATAAGGTGAACCGGGAACTTTAGGGGCCCCAGTGCTGTTTGCCGATTTGCGTGGTTGGTAAGGCCAAGGGAAAGCTGTAAAAGCATTACTTTGATGCCAATGTCACTGTCTTGGGGTACTGAGTTAACCACATCAGTACTATCTGAATATTGTGACATTACTAAAGAGGCATCTGCTGTAGTAACTGCAGCTACAGACAGCAGTGTTTTAATAATGCAAAGACACCTTATGATCACAGGAGGGGGTAGAGGCTTGACAGTGGTGTCTTTATTCATATTCGCTTCAAAATGTACATACTTTTTGTTCTTCGCTGTGTTTTTTTGGTGACTGTTCCGCACCCTGGCTGATGGAGTACACTTTCTGTTTCTGACATGTTCAGTTGTGTGTACGGAAGTGGTCAGCGGGTTGTAAGGTCAGAGGGTAAAGGCTATCCCTCTTTGATTGAGAATACACACAGCCATCTTGGATCTAACGTAGAGAAGGGAAATTGATGCGGTGAGGATATTTTACTTATTTCTGGGTCATATTAAATCAGTTCGGCTCACATTTCAGCCTTCGGTACGAGCGATTTATGCCACTGTTTTCCTCCGTTTCGATGCGGAGCGAATCTTTAGCCTTTAGCTGCAGCAGATTGTCACTGCTGCTGCTGCTGCTGCTGCTGCTGCAAACGGAGCGTAAACTGAGCCGAGAAAACGGACAGCTGACTGTGGATATATGGAGGCAGAGAGGGCCCACATCACTGCCTTGTAGTGACGGCTGCTCGGTAGCTTAGTCAGGTTGTGTTGGAGTTGGAAGGTTTCGGTATGTTGCGGTAATTAGCGCCTGGTTAAAGCAGTCCGCTTGCGAACTTGTGCTAGCTAAGCTAACACAAACTGATTGTAAGCAGTTAGCCTGCTAACGCTAGCTAACTACACTAGTGGTGGCTAACTAGCATGTTAGCATTGCTGATGTTAATGTTCTCAACAGTGTCAAATTAGGTTACTATTCAGCCTTTAAGACACGTGATTTTTGTAAAACATGCTATGGACAGGATAAATAGTTTATTTTGTTAGAGAAGTTCAACATGCTCGTCCCTTATGCGTGTACATCAATACAAAATAGACTCCACTTCAAAAACTTTATTTCAAAACCCCAAGACGCCAAATATTTCATTGTGATTTACAGAGAAACGAGAATAAATGATGCATCCAGAACTTTCCATTTCATGTAAGGGTGCAATCATGGAAAAGCATGTCCTGTTTAAAAGGTGGATTCAATATTAGGGTTGCTAGTGTCAGGGAAGTGCTGGAACAATCAGATGCTTAATTGATGTTATGCAGTGTTGTCAATTATATTGTAACTGGTGGTTGTACAACATTGAAACAATTATTATTGTATCGTATTTAGATAAGAAACGTGAACTTCACTCTGAGATGGTATTTGTGTACGTCCAGTCCTCACCTGCTTTCTTTCGCTTGCAAGTCTTTAACTCTGTGTGCTCTCTCTCTCTCTCGCTCTCTCTCTCTCTCTCTCCAGGTGACAAAAGGCATGTTTGGTGCTAGAAAGAAATTTGTAGAGTTCGTCGAGGTAGTCGATAACGACTTCACCGATGAAGGCATGTACTACAGCCAGCCGTCGATGTTCCCACATCGGTCGGACAAAGATGTGAGTTTTGCCCACATATCTGCACACTCCCGTCATTTCTTCATTCAACACCAGTGGAGGCATTTTTCTAGTCGTCTTACTCTTTCTAGTCCTCAAATGTTTTCCTTCAGATGCTGTCGTCTCCCTCGCCGTCGTCGTCGACGTCGGGTCAGCTGTCGCAGCTTGGTGCAAGTTTGTACGGTCCACAAAGTAAGTGTTTCCTTTATCATCCTGCAGTCACACTCCCGTAGCAGTCTCCTCACATGTTGCATATTTGGAGTTAAAAAGAAATCCCGCCTGTAGATGGTGTGTGAACTAGAGTGCAGTTGAGCTTAGCAGCTATTCAGATGAACTTTCTCTTGTTGTCTGACGGTATTTGTTTTTCTTCGATGTCTTTCTGCAGGTGCACTCGGCTTCTCGGTAAGGGGCATGGGGAACAGTACGCCGCAGTTAAATCGAAATCTAACGCAAGGCACGCAGGCACTACCAAGTCATATCACCCCTACAACGGGGGTCCCCGCCATGTCCCTCCATACCCCTCCATCACCAAGCAGGTGGGAATGAAGGCAGACTCAGTTAAGACGCATACTTGTGTGGTTCATACAAATAAGAAATACCTGGGAATAGAGATGACAGTTGACATGTGTCGTGAGCAAAGATTAAAATGCGCTTAATCAGACCTGATGATGTTTTAACAGGGGGACGTTGCCGATGAACACGAGGAACATGTTGAACCACTCTCAGGTCGGTCAAGGCATCGGGATGAGCGGCAGGACCAATAGTATGGGCAGCTCGGGGCTCGGCAGCCCCAACCACAGCTCGCCCAGTATCATCTGTATGCCCAAACAGCAGCCAGCACGCCAGCCCTTCACCATCAACAGGTGCAATACTCACTCGTCCTTGTGGAGATCTGCGGCTCTTTGTGTCCTCTACACTTCCTGTTACAGATGCTTTTAAGGAAAAGCTCATTTTCGGTCTCATCTTCTGTTTTCGTTTTCTTTTTTCTGTGCAGCATGTCAGGGTTTGGTATGAATCGCAATCAGGCGTTTGGGATGAACAACTCATTATCAAGCAACATCTTCAATGGCACAGGTTAGTGTGTTTAACTCAGGTGGGTATATCAAGGGATCATTAGTTTGAAGTTAAAGAAACACGGGAGTGTTTGTTTTGGAATATAACAAATCTATTCTACATGAAATGCAGTGAGTTACATTTCATAAATATACCTTGCTGCACATTTGTTAAGACGTAGCTGCCGACATGACTAGATGACCTCGTTCACTGTACAATGCAGTGAACGGTGTCTTCTTGGAGCAAGAAGCAGAATTAGATTTAGACGCAGGCAACATACGGTCAGAGTGAAGATCAATTTAATCTGATCTGGGTGTTCTTTGGTGAAGATTTGTAAAAGAAAATTGTAAGTAAAATGAATTCTGGAAAAACTGAAAACATTGTATCAATTTATCTCTGACTGCTGAAACAGACGGTGAGTAACTATTATTCAAATTAGCTGTTGTGTTTGGTCAGCAGTTTCTACTTAGGGGAGGGCCATTTATTCATACAGTTACAGGGTGACACAAATACACCATCGAGTTAATAATCGACACATTATTACACAGATACATTGAGCTGAAGGTGACACTACATATTATAAGTTCCTACCCTTCCTATTACTGCAGATGGGAGTGAAAATGTAACGGGACTGGATCTGTCAGACTTCCCTGCGTTAGCAGACAGGAGTCGGAGAGAAGGGACTGGAAACCCAACACCGGTGCTCAACCCACTGGCTGGACGGGCTCCTTATGGTAGGCCATTAGGCCGTAGAAAGTGTCTATTTTTACACACATTAAGACACAGGAAGTAGGTTCCCCTAGGACAGGAAATTAACATTAGCCTCTTGATTGGGTTCGTAATATTAGCCAAGGTTTCGTTAGGTTTGATATCTATTTGTTGTGTATTTATTTTTTTTGCTCGTTACACTCTGGGGAATTGTAATCTCTACTTCACTATGTTCATCATCATCATCATCAAGTTGGCATGGTGACGAAGCCATCAACTGAACAGACGCAAGACTTCTCCATCCATAACGAGGACTTCCCTGCACTGCCCGGGCCAAACTATAAGGACCCCACGTTGAACAACGACGACAGCAAAACTGTAAGTGTGAGCGCCCCGAGGACTCTGCAATCTGACCGGATGTCGAGGCTCATTAAAGATCATCCTTCTTGTTTTACTCTTCTGTGTATTAAACCGGTTTTCTTTGTTTTTCAGAACTTGAACTCCACAAGCAAGAGCACATCCAATGCAGACGGGCCGAAGTTCCCCGGAGACAAGACGACCTCAGCACAGAACAACAACCAGAAGAAAGGGATCCAGGTGTTGCCCGATGGTGAGACCTCTCAGCCAATCGTATCGCTCCAATTCCACTGAGACATCCCTTCTTAATCGCACAACTTGGGTGAGGCAGTTGGGCTCTCTACCCTGCATTTGGGGTTAGATAATGATTGGATAGGCTGCAGTGAGGAAACCAAAAGAATATGTTCAGTATGATACGGACCATCATCATCTTTCCATTAGTCTGTCTGTGACCATCACGTGTTTAAAGGAATAATTGGCTTGGTTTGCTCTCCAATGCGTGCACAAAGTGTGGGTTTAAAAATGTGTAGGTAATGTATTGACGGTAAGTATGAACTGTAGCTCACAGTCCCGTGTCAGCGGTTTGTTGAACTCTGAATTATCCTGCCGCCGCAGGTCGGGTGACGAACATTCCCTCAGGAATGGTGACAGACCAATTCGGCATGATTGGCCTGCTGACATTTATCCGGGCAGCAGAGACCGATCCGGGGATGGTGCATCTGGCGCTAGGAAGTGACCTCACAACACTGGGACTCAACTTAAACTCACCAGAGTAAGACGGCCGCTCCACCCTGAATACAGTACCGTTTAGAGCTTCGTTTAGAGCTTCGTTTAGAGCATCAGCCAGTGTGCGTTTGTCCAGCAAATGATCATGTGAGCAGCGAATCACTAGTCCTGTAATGAAACTCAAGTCGCCCATTTAAGTGCTACATGACCATTACGATGGTTACCGTTCTCACAGCTTTCCTTTTCGCTGAGTAAATCTTAGTTTGAGAAAAGTTAGTTGCAAACTTTATGAAAAATATCTTCCCTTCACATCATGCAACAGAACTACTAGTTTTGTGAGATCCATGATTTGATTTGATGATTTTAAAAGCACTCAAACCGTGAGTTTAATCGTCTTGACTCACGTGTGGTGAAGTTTCTCTCCCGTTAACGTTTTCAACATCTATGCTTCGGTCTCACTAGTTTGTGTTTTGTTAGTTTGTGCTGTTACTCTCTGTTTGCGTGTCCATCGTGCGATGAACTTACTGCAACTTTCTTTCCCGACAGAAACTTGTACCCCAAGTTCGCCTCTCCTTGGGCCTCATCGCCATGTCGACCTCAAGACATTGGTAAGACTTTCACATGAGTGATGTGGCGGAGGATTTAGAAGAAGCTTAATTTAGTGATCCGGGAAAAGCTTCCAAGAATTGGCCTGAGCCAGAGCCAGAAACGCTTTTTGGCCCTCTAGGCAGGTTGTTAGAGGACCAACGAGAGGACCCATTCAATAAGCAATGGGAGCTGGTCTCTCAAATCATTGATCTTCACATCTCTCCATTGGCACGACAGTAAATTAAGAAAAGTCTTCTAATAATTAGGATTTCATGTTTTAGTCACTCCTGCTCGTTCTTGTGTTTTCAGACTTCCACGTTCCGTCTGAATACTTAACCAACATCCACATAAGGGACAAGGTAATGCTGAGCTTCAGACCGGCTGCAGGTCTCCAGGTTGTACATGTAGGTACAAAACTAATACTCTTTTTATTCTTCGCTGTCCTGCCTCCAGCTGGCTGCAATTAAACTGGCACGATATGGTGAAGACCTGTTGTTCTACCTGTACTACATGAACGGTGGAGACCTGCTACAGCTTCTGGCAGCAGTAGAGCTGTGAGTACAACAGTTTGATCATGTTTGGTTTTCTCCGTCTGGACATTGTTGACAGCTTTTCAATGTGATTTAAAGTTCTACAAATCATCATTTAAGCGTGCGGAAGGTTGCCAGTAGCTCTTCCGATCTTTAGAGGGAGAATTGGGGTGAAATTTCAGGCCAGTCACTTGGTTTCTTCCCTTTTGTCTCGTTCCTCGTCCATAACGTCACTCTCCAGCTTCAACCGGGACTGGAGGTACCACAAAGAGGAGCGGGTTTGGATAACGAGGGCGCCTGGCATGGAGCCGACACTGAAGACCAACACCTACGAGAGGGGGACCTACTACTTTTTTGACTGTCTTAACTGGAGGAAAGTAGCCAAGGTAGGACTTTGTCTTTCACAACCTGGCGAAATGGCATCAAGTTTTACTGACTCCTGTTGTGGATTAGAGCTTTTTCTGTCATGTTAAAATATTGTTTGCATCTCACAGGAATTTCATCTGGAGTATGATAAGCTTGAAGAGAGGCCTCACGTGCCAACAACATTCAACTACAACCCAGCCCAGCAGGCCTTCTAAGGCCCGACCAGTCCAGAGGGCCGCACCGGTTCCTGCACACACACCGCTGTTGTCCAGGAGGGGCGCTGTGGTTGACGCGGCTCGGTTTTTATTCCTCGAGGATTTGGCTATCTGACTGTGGGGGGTCGTCGTCGCCACCATCATCAAAACTGCCCCCGCCTTTCCAAAATTTCACGCTGCCCAAAACACCAACACTTGTTCTATTTTTATTCTTTATGTTCCTCCTGTTTTTTTGGACTTGTTTTGAGCAGGGTCTGTGTTATGTTTACGTCTCTGAATCTGAAGCTTGTTTTCTTTTAGAAAGGAGGACTGGCCCTGTGGCACAGGACAGTCACAGAACCAGGTTTACGAACAGGAAAAAAAAAACAAATGGTGAGGAAAGTTAGCATCCTCAGACGCAAGTGAAGGGGTGAAAGAAATGCAATGTTTATTGTTGCACTATATTTAGTAATAAAAGAACACAAAATTTGTTTGTGATTTTTTTTTTTTTTAATGTGAACACTCCCTGATATTTTTTTTTTTCCTTTTTCTATTTTTTTCGTTATGGGTCGGGGGGGGTTCATGCAACTTTTCCACATGCATCCCATTTTCATCTCACCCTTTTATTTTATTTTTCTATCTCCCATTTACATTTATTTCAACCTTTTGTATTTCTGTCTCACACTCTGTCCGTCTCCCTGTGAGTTCTGTGCCGGTTGAACATGGACACAAATCTGGGAGATTCTTTTGGTTTCCACAAGTGTGGACGAATCCTCGCAGAGGCTAAACAGCGACACGACGTTGCTCCAAAGCAAACAAAACAATTTCCAGTCTTTGTTACAATTTTGTAAGAAATGTGTACATTTTTTTTTTCTTTGCATCACATAAATTAGTGTATGTACGAATGTGTATATATGATTGCTATATATATATATGTGTATGTATATATATATATATAGGACATCTATTTTGGAAGAAACTTTGCCCTGCCTTTTACCTCGTTTTTATGAGGTGAGCATGGATGCAATATGTGGACGCAACAGGACATTTCTGGATCTGCTGGACAGGGTGTCACATGGCACTGCGGGCACTTACATCAAAATAACACAAAATTAAAATGTCATTTGAAGAAAGGCCTGATTCTCAGCCACAAACAAAAAGAAGAAATAAACATGGAGATCATCCCCCAAGTTTGGAGTCCAATGTAAACTATGGGATGTATTTCAATTCAAGCTGTTTGAACAGCAGTGAAAAGCAGCATTTCATAGCAAACGGAAAACTGTCAAGTTGAGGAGAAAAAGAATCCAGACCAATCTTGTATTTTCAGAAGTTCAAAGCTTCTTTTCTTTGTATTAAAGCAGAAAAGGCTTTCCTGAACCACTGCGTGTGTGTTTATTGCTCTTTGAGGTACACTTTCTAATTATGTACTAAACAAAATGTATAGTTGTGTGATACACTAGTTAAATGTTTACAGAATAATATTTGGAACATGTAATCTGTGCCTTAAAACCTTTTGTAGCTTCATCTTCAGTTTGAAGGATTTCATCACACCTCATGATGGAGACATTCAATTCTGTTGAAAGTGCAAGATTTATTATTCTTCAAAAACTTTACAGAACTTTCTCTTCAAGCAAGTCAATTCATGGGATGTCATTTTGACCAAATTCTGGCCTGATTTTCACATGTAACACATGATAGATACAAAAGTAACATCTTCAGTGCTGCAGATAAATAAAGACACGTTTGTACTACGCTACACTTACAGATCAGGATTATTTCTAAATTAATTAAAGTTGTTGAAACAGTTTAGAAAGGCACATACACAACTTATACAATGGATAAAAAAAAAAAAATAGAAGTTGACAAATATGGCACATGAACATGAAAAGATTATTCATTGAAAAAATTCTAAGTGCTGCCGTTAAAGGCCATGGACAATCAATCACAATTAGGAAATAAGACAAAAACAAAGATGTCGCAAAGTATTGAAATCAAAACAGACTCAAGTCGGTCACAGGTTGTGTTTGTGAGGAGCAGAGGACACGCACAGCTGAGCCTTCTACTGGAGAGAAACCACTCCAGTCCATCCGGACTACAAGTATTAAAAGGCAGTGTGGCGGAAGAAAGCATTGACTTTTACATTACACTTGTTACACCACCTGACCCTTTCTAATTGCCGTCGCTTGCATAAATGCTACAAATTCAAATTGAATTTATTAGATGTTGCAAACACTATAAAGAGGTGTTATGTTTCTGTAGAATGGAAACAAAAGAAGACACTTCCTGCAGCAGCACTTTAAGTACACATTCAGTCTCGAACGTAAGATGATTGTTTTGTCATTATTGTAAAGAGAAACGATATCAGATCTTCTCTTCTAGCGAGCCTCACTTTACATTCCTCGAGTTATGAACACTGATCTGCTGTTCTCACAGCGACGGTCACTTTGAGATGGGTTCAGTGAGGGTTGAGACATCTGGAGGACCTCCTGCTTTGCCAGGGACAAGAATCAGAGACAGAATCAGCTTTATTGGCCAAGTATGCATGCACGTGCAAAACAATACTCTGTCACAATGCACGGATACAGAAATAGAAACAGCAGCTAGGGACAAGGACAACAGAGCTGGACAGATAAAGAGTAGTGAAAATAGCTGACCAGCAATAAAATATGAAATAAAAAATAAATATATTGTCTTTATAATGAATGGCAAGTGAGTTGTTTGAGATCTAAAGGAGGATAAAGACGCGCTGACCTCCTCCTTCATTAATCACAGTACTATCTCTCTCTGTGCCAGTGGTTTTGCATAATTAAAAGACTCCATAAATCATCACAACACCACCTAACCTTTCTCTTTCTTCTCCTGAGTCTCCTCGGCTGCAGTCTTGTCTGCTCTGAAGAAGATCCGCGCGCTGCTCAGCGAGAAGTGGAGCAGCTCAAACTCCTGAAGAGAAAGGAAGACGGAAGAGGTCAGAGTGAACAATTGTTTTACATCAGAGGTTGTCAGACGCGGAGGAAGAGACGCGAGGCAAAGATGCTGCTCGAGGTGAAAGGGAAAGGTGCGCCGCGGGGTTCTGAAAGCATCAGGAAGCTGGTTATTGTAGTAGGGCCGGCTTATTAATACGAACAGCAGCTGATGGAGGCAATTAAGGTACTTAAAAACCCATTAGCTCCTAATTGCTGCAATGTGCAACAACGTTTGTATTTCCTCTTTGAGTCATAACTTAGTCAGATCTGAAAACACAACACTTATTTATTTAGATTCAATCTGACTTCCTCATCCAGAGGATATCATTATCTGGAGGAGGAGGAGTTTGGTGAAGACGCTTCTTAAAATGTCAGAACCTGCCTAAGAATCATCACTTTTTTAAGTTTTTCTTCATTATCAAAGTCAGTGAGAGTACATTCATGGCTACATTACAAACAGGAACAGACATAACATAGTTAATCCAGCACACTTTTAATGCTGCCAATTTGTCAAAAGAAATCACTGACTCCATGGCTACATTACACTTCCTGTTAGAGGGGGTTCCAACCCAACAGGGATTGTACCTGAAGGTAGCCATCCAGCCTCTTCTGAGTAAGGTTCATCGTTTGCAGCAACTTTTCATCCTGGCTGGCACTCTGGACGCTCTGCTCCTTCACCACAGCCTTCATCTCTTTCTTGTACTTATCTCTGACGGCCTGAAACCAGTGCAGGGAGTCAAATTCCAGGTACTGGTCCAGCAGCTTCAGGATGTACGCCACACCTGCGAGAGCGAGTGTAGGTTAGTCAAAAGACAAAAAAAAGCAAGAAGTGTAGAGCATTGAGCCGATGTCGTGTAGTACGTACTCACCCATAGCAAAGCCGTCATCTGTGAACGCAGCTCCAGTTTTGTTCTTTTTGTTGAGTTTCTCTTTGCAGCTGATGGAATGCTCCACAAAATTCACCGTCTATGGGCGAGATTAGTTGTGCATCAATTACTGAAAGTGCTGCATAGACTGATGAAGATAAACACTGCATAGAGAGTTGTTTAACAAATGGACAGAGAAAAGAGCGTGACAGGTAGCAGCATGGAAGCAAATGACAGGTGTTGGCACTGACCAGTGGGGGTACGATCATGTAGAAGTTCCTCAGGTGCATATTCTTGGCACTGCGAAACTCAGGCGCAAACACGGCCACCAGCATCTTGAAGTACTCCGTGCCCTCGGCAGAGTTGCTGGTCAGATCTCCCAACACTGAATCTAGGACACTGGAAATGACCCAACATTTAAGAAGAACCATGCAAACAACAGCTGATGTTTCCTTTCCTATTGTTGTTATAGCTGTGGTGCCCTCTGCAGCAGTAAAAATGGAAATACACTGAAAATATCTGGACATGTTTTGACCGTAGACACAACTGAAACACAGCGGTGTGTGTGCATGACAGAAATATTAAGCCCAAACTGAATACAGTTACACCTACTGGAGCTAGACTTAAATTAACCCCCGTCCCACATACACCAAAGTAAATCCCCTAAATGCAAATGATCATTTGGAGAAATATGCTATTTGCCCTACCTGGCAGCTTTCTGGGTCTCCTCTGACAGTCCCTCCTCTTTCACCAGCTCCTCAAAGTTGACTATATCCTCCAGGTCGGGCACAAACCTGGAGATGACACGGACATTAAACCACACCAGTGAGATATGACAGAAAACACTTCAATGGACATGAGCTTTAATTAGATTTAACGTAATATCTACATAAAACAACAACTCTCTTTTACCTGATGGCACTGCTGCAACAGTGGAGGCCTCCAGAGCGGATCATACGCACATAGCCCATGGCGTTGCCTGCAAAAGAGGGTCAAATCAGTGTTGCTTTAAAATTCGCCTGCAACCTGCAGTTACATTTCTAAGATGAAATGCCAAGAACTGATTATTCTCACCAATCTGGCTGATGAGCTGTCTGAACTGGTCCAGGTAGCTCTGGCCGTCGGGAGTGATGCCCAGCTTCCTGATGCCGCGGTTAAACTTCTCCGCTCGCTCGAATGGATACTGCAACAAAAGCACGGAACGTTACAGCTGAACAAGAGCTCGTGGCAGGGAGCCATGTTATTGTACCAAAGTGATATGAAAATGCAGTATTTTTTAAAAACGGAAACTTCCGGAGGATTAGGCAGTTTACTAGTTCCAAGAACAGAAAATCGAGAAAAGCCCGATGTTCTCATGGCGGGCTTATCTGAAAGTCTGTCTGTTAATGTGAAAACTTAGCCCATTTGCAAAGTTCCTTTAATCTTAAACACTGGATTTCAGTTTCCAGCTCTCACCAGTTAAGGCTCACCAGACCAAACTAAAGCGTTTTCTGAAAAGTACCAGCCGGCAATATTCCCCATCTGTCCACGACGGTGCTTTGTTTGGTAAAATGAATTTGGACAGTGTAATGGGAAAATATGTTATAGTATCATGTTATGTTTTAAAACATGTACCACTGAAAGTGATGAACATAGACAGACACAAAACAGCAGTCCTGCAGAAGTAGTTAATCAATTTATGAACCAGATGTCCTGTTTTCTCTTACTTTTGGTTTATCACACGCTCCCACACAAGAAGGGGAAGTGAAGACTGTAAGGGGAAAGATATGTTGAAGGCCTCTGTGTGACCGAGTTGTGAACCTGAAACTTACGTATGTTCAAAACGATGCAGTAAAGAGGGACTTGTAAATCGTGATAACTGTGACTGGTTCCCAGCAAACACACCTGACAGGAACTAAATAATGAGCAGAAGCATTTAACCTGTGTCAGAGGGCCCCTCATCTCCCGTGTATGATTTATCTGAGAAAGAGGACCTCTCCGTGTATAAAAGGTGGTGAATCCTGTAGTTCGGAGAAGTCTTTACAACATGCTGCCGAATACGTATCGTGTTGTGCACTCTTCCCTCTTGCAAGAGAATAAACGGAAAAAGACAACTTTGAATCTTCTGAAGACATTATTATTAATTTGTGAACAGGAACTCTCTTCTCCCGATTAACCTAGAAATATTCCACCACAATTGACACCCAGCCTTTCCTACCTTCTGATCAGACTGGTCCTTTGTTTCTCTGAAGAAGCGAATGTCCTTGATGAGTCTGGACTTGATGTGTTCGTCGTACATGAATTGACTGAAGATGTAAAACTTCTTCCGCAGGAACTGGTATGTGAAATTCACCTGATGAAAGAAGAGAGAAGATGTGCAACAGGTGCAGCAAAAGCCTTGATGCACCCAGATCTGAAAGAAAAAAGTACAACTGGACTAAAACAAGCACCGCTGCCTTCCCTGTAGACTCACCGTGGTGTTCATAATGCCTGTGCCGTGGGTCCGGATGGAGTTGGCGATGTGACGGATGTTGATGGTGTTCAGGTGCTTGTTGTTACTGGCCTTCTCTACGAAGATCTGTCGGAAAGCGAAAAAAAAAAACTGTATATAAACGCACAAACAACGGCTTGGTTGAAGAGATTGAAGGTGAGCTCGGACACGACAGGGTCTTACCTGGTTGTTGAGGTTATAAAGGTAGCGCGAGACAAAAACGTGAATGTTCCTCATGATCTCCAGAACGTCCAGACCCTGATGAGGAAACACACCGGGGCTCCAGTTATAACCAACCATCTACCACCTTCACGTCTTTGATCAAAAGCTCCCCCTCCGTCACGTGGTGTACGGTGCAACCACACAGACCTGCTCCAGGGTCTGGCTGGGCAAGTGTGCCTCCGTCATCGTGAGCCCATAGCGCTGCGTGGCGAGGTTTCTCATCTCACTGTAGGTGGCCCAGTCATGGAGAGCGACCGTGGTCAGGTTGTAGAAGGTTTTATCCAGGTAGTGGGTCACATAGGCTGCACAGAAAATAAGACAAATAGTCTTTTAATTGACACCTTCAGCGTCATCTTTCATTTCACAGTACACCGCCTTATCATGACATGAGCCGGCTTCCCTTCGTACTACCACACATGAGATATCACACACGTGGACATGTATGGACACAGTGTTTCTATCACCTTTGATGAGGATGAAGCGGTTGAAGAATCGGATGGGTTTGAGGGAGAAGAAGTGGGCCAGGTCCTTCATGCCAACTTTGAACGGGTTCCTGTCGTCCAGCTTCAGATGGGTGTGGACGGAGAGACGCAGGTCCTTCTCTATCTCCTTACACAGCTTGTCCAGCAGGTGCTACAAGAGAACAAGATGCACATGAAGGTTAAGGATGTGACTGCAAAAGCTCTTTGATTTGTACAAAAGTATTTAAATCAAAATGTCCCGACACCTGTACACCCTTTTTCCTCTGTTCTCACCTCGTTGAACACGTCCATGATCTCCTTGTCGTAGCTCTCCAGTAGCTGGTCACATGACTCCATGTGTTTGGCGTACAACATGGAGGGCACGCTGTCCCTCAGTGCACTAAACATGTACTGCTCCGGCAAAATCACAGACATCATCCAGGAAGGCAGAGCACCGGAGCAGCCAATCAGACACAAGCAGAACGGAAACCGGTAACATTTAAAAGCAAAATTTAAGCAGATAGACAGCAGCTCATACAGATGAGAAGATATTCAGTCTTCATTAAAACACTTCCTGCTGGGTTGCAACTCCAATTCCACGTCTCTTCTCGTCATTCCTGCCACAACAGCCTTATATTGAGATTGCGATGCTCTCAAACAGGGTGACAGAAAGAGTGCGATCAGTCCAGTCTGCTTACGTGTATTCGTGCTGCGTCCACGGCATAGTCGTATACGTCGTCTAGGTAGATGGGAAACACAGCTCGGTGCCAGTAGAGGAAACTACAGTCACACTGCAGCTTGACCCTGTGGAATAAAGTCGTAGGCCAGAAGACTCTTCAAGTAGCTCACAGAAAACATCAAATCGCTTACATGAAAGGGTTTTGTGCCAAGAATGTCAAAGTTCTGGTCCAACATTCGCATCCAAGTGTCAGATGCAATTAAAAATGTTTGGTTCAAGAGATAACCGACGACAGTCACCTGCCGAAGTGATGAATGTGTAGTTGAGATGATGGGGGGGGGGACTGAGACAAAGCCTGGGACAGATCGGAGCTAAATCCAAACAGCACATAGGCCCATACATAGTAGATGCATCGACACTGGTCATTTAACTGCATTCCTGTTGAGAGTTAGTCTGACGATGAACAGGGACCAGTAGGATCCTCTGACAGGCGTCTCTCCTGATATTGATCAATTAGTAGACCAACAGTACATCTCGTGTGCCCAGATGTCCAAAACACCCCCAGGGAACCGGATCTGAAAACAGTTATGAATCCCTACTGTATGCATGATGAACCAAATGACTGTTCAGAGGAGAGTTGAGAGCTGATGAGTAAGAGGAGGGGGCGATCATGAATAGAGGAGCGAGGTTATAAAGTAAGCTACATTTCTTTGTTGGGGAGAGTTGAATCCGGACAGCTCGGTTTGCTTGTACTCTTCATCCATCCATCCATCTTCCTCCGCTTATCCGGGGTCGGGTCGCGGTGGCAACAGGCCAAGCAGGCTGACCCAGACTTCCCTCTCACCGGCAACATGTTCCAGCTCATTCTGGGGGATCCCGAGGCGTTCCCAGGCCAGCTGGGAGATGTAATCCCTCCAGCGTGTTCTGGGTCTTCCCCGGGGTCTCTTCCCAGTTGGACGTGCCTGGAAAACCTCCAGTGGGAGGCATCCAGGAGGCATCCTAATTAGATGCCCGAACCACCTCAGCTGACTCCTTTCGACGCGAAGGAGTAGCGGCTCGACTCCAAGCTCCCTCCTGATGACCGAGCTCCTTACCCTATCTCTAAGGCTGAGCCCGGCCACCCTACGGAGGAAACTCATTTCGGCCGCTTGTAGCCGCGACCTTGTCCTTTCGGTCACGACCCAGAGTTCGTGACCATAGGTGAGGGTAGGAACGTAGACTGAGTGGTAAATTGAGAGCTTTGCCTTCCGGCTCAGCTCCCTCTTCACCAAGACGGTCCGGTGCAGCGCCTGCTTTACTGCTGCAGCCGCACCGATCCGTCTGTCGATCTCCCGCTCCATCTTACCCTCACTCGTGAACAAGACCCCGAGACACTTGAACTCCTTCGCTTGAGGTAGGCTCTGTGTGATGCAAATGAACCTGCGTGAACTGAAGAAACTTCCATCTCTGTGGGTGTGACTGAGTTCCTGGTTAGTGAGAATCCTGTGGTATCTCACCACCAGTCAGATAGCAAATAAGTATTAAGCCAGCTTTTAGATATTGAGGTTAAATAAACTTTAAAGTCCAAGCCACCGATCATCGACATAGAAAAAAACCCCACAACACTACAGTGCAAGCTCTTTGCTCATGAGACATCACAGCACAACAACTGGCTGTCTATGACACCAGATGTTGAAAGCTGGCTGGAAAGCAGCAGCATCTGAGCTGGAGGGTTAATCACTTTGCCAGCTCTTGGCAGACGGAGCAAAGGCAGATCGTGTCATGCACCGAGTAGCAAATTAGCACTTGGGAATTTTATTCAACATGATCAAAAGAAGAGGAAAGCCCACCTCTCACTCAGCTCACTGATCAGATCCAGCTTCTTCAACACGAGCTGCAGTGGAAGCAGCTCCTCATCTTTGAACGTTTTCTACAAGACAGCGAGAGATTTCAGTGTCACGCTGAGAAAGCATCCCAATCAACAACGAACCTGTCCCAACGTACCAGCTGAGTGCCGACACACAGTGCCAGAGACACCACCAGTCGTCGCTCCTTTGTGCTCGGCCCACTCAAGGCATTTTCTGCCAGAACCAAGGACGACAGCACGTCCAGCCTCTGCTCGCTGTACTTCTTGTCAGAGATCACCCTTTTCTGCAGGGAATAACAACACGCGTCACATAAAAATGTCACAACTCCATAAACTCCTCCTGTGAATAAAAAGTTTGTGTGTTTGGATTTACCCTGGCGACACCGATGGCGTTGAGGGCCTGCGACTGCAGCTGCTGAGTGATGTGAGAAACGGAGTCCGCTACAACCATGGACCGCCTGTGAAACATGTGCTCCACAGCCTGAGGGGAGAGACGCATCACACGACCTTATTCTCAAACGGACAATGCACTGGTGACAAGTACAGAGAGACTCAAAAGCACACACACACACCTTGAGCAATTCAACGAGTCGACACAGAGCTTTGACAGAGGTCTTGGTCATGGGCCGCTGCATCGACATGTACATGTTCATCGTGGTTTTGATAATGGTGCCGATGCTGTATGCATACAGGATGCCCTGTGAGGAACAGGAACCTTTATTAAAGACGTTATATCCTCAACAAACCTGTATGTAACAGCACAACACTTTTAAAATAATCTTATGTGGTCGGTTTATCATGAAAAGACTCAACAAATACAGGTATTTCTCTGTTTTAAATGGCATAATCAATGCATCTCTGGAGCATTTACGATTGGATTTGAAGGTGTATTGGATAATGTGAATGCCATGTGATGAGCTGGTCTTTGTAGTCCAATGCCCTAGGCTGTAGTCCTGCTGAGCCTCGTTAGGAGACAACATCTTACCTGTACAAACACATTACACCTGCTGTTCAGGTCTTCTGCCAACTTGTCGCCCTTATGCTCCGTGGACAAGATGGACTCCATCTTCATCATCCAGGAAGTTACAAACACGTAGTAGGACTGCACATCCCTGAAGAGAAGAGACAACGGAAGCCATCGGATTCTACAAATCTAAAAAAAATTCTGAATGAAACAAAGTAAACGTGACTGATCTTCGGCCCCGCTGACTTCGTTAGTGTCTGAGCTCTTTGCTGCAGGTAGGTGTCTCTTTGCGCTCTGATCGCCTGCAGACTCTTCTTATCCATCAGCTTGGCTGCGGCTGGGACCTTAGCAATGAGGAAAGTGTCGGGAAACCAGATGATGTTTGCAGTCAGAGTGACAGCTGGAACCTGGAGGAGAAAGGCAGACACAAACCCACGTGATCGAGAGGTTTCCACTGTCGCAAGATGATTAAACAAAAGTCACCGATAGAGAAAAGAGGCAGGCCGAGAGCTACCTTTTTACAGATGTCAAGCAGCGCCTTGTAGAACTTCTTGTCGACACTCCTGAAGATGTGAAAGTGAAGCACATATAGACCACAGACGCTGGCATACTTATCCCTCTGGTCAATCTCTGAAGGTTCACCTGAAAACAACACGGACACGCAGACGTTAATCATTTAAAGTTGCAGCAAAGAGCGAGAACTAGTCGATCGTGAGGAGAGAAACTGACCAATTTTGGACTCAACATTGGTGAAAATGGTGCGAATGTTGAAGGCAAACTCCTCGGCAAAGGCACTGTTTTTGGAGACAGCTACTCCTTCCCCGGGATCATCGAATCTCTGCTCCACACAGGCCTGTCACACAGTTGTAAACATCAGGAGGTTAACGGTGCTCAGAATAGATTCACTCAAGTACTCAGTCTTAAAATGACCTAATTGATCTCCGTTTGCACATTGGCACAAAACTAAACTCTGACTTTACAGCAAACACTTCTACCTCAGAAAATTTATTGTACAACAGAATAAAAGCCCGAAAGAAGTGCAGTCACCTGCAATATCATGCCATCCAGCATCTGCCCCTCAAGCTTCAGCAGCAGCTTCTCAAATGGTTTCAGCTTCTCTTCAGGAATGGAGAATTTCCCCGGGTTATGGTGCACAGATTTCAACAACCTACAGTAAGAGAAAGTGATTACACAAGAATATAGGCTGTACATGATTTATATATTAAAGCACTTATGTTGAAATATATAAGAAAACATTATTGGGTTTCAACAGATGTAATTAGTTAAATAAATGCAGGAAATGTAGGGTTGAATACAAAATATCCTTCTAGATCAGATTTACGTACATATACTGTAGTTACATTTTTTCTTGGTTGTATGGTTTCAATCCACTGTTATAAACCATTTGAGAGGTGTCCTTCATGGTCATCCCGATAGTTTAAATTTCTAACAGATGAATGTTGTCTTCAGTACCAAAAAAATGGAATTTCTGGAATTGAGCTTTTCCTTCATCTTACTGGTTGCAATAGCCGTGTGTGTGTGTGTCTCTATGTGTTGACCTTTTATACATCTTCCAGTGATCTTTCAGTGTGCCGTGATTTTCCATTATCTCATCGAGTGTGAGCAGAACCACCAACAACTCCCCGAGGTGTTCGTACACGGTCTGCAGAGGGAACACAAAACTAAATAAATATATTTAGATAGATGAGACAAAGAAGAGAGTTTGAAGACTAAAATGAGCCAAATCCTTCAAACCCACCTGGAAATGGACACCTGACGACTCAATGATTTTTGTTGTACCCCTGAGATATGAAAGGAGAAACGCTGTTGTACATTTTGTTATACGCCGTAAGAGAGACACAAACATGCAACAAGTACTTAAACTGGAAATGCAGTCTAAGTTTTTTTTGTCTGCATGAAGAGCACAAAAGCTCTTTTGACAACACGGATATTCAAGCCGATCCCAGAAGAACAGTACATTCACTGTGTATTCACTGTGCTACATTACTTGTTGCTGTTGTAGAGGGCAGCCAGCTGATGAACAATGTTGACCACCACTTCATAACATCTTGACACAAAACAGGAGAGTTCCTGCCAGAGAGCAAAGACAGAAGATGGTATCGTGATTTCAACTAAATGCAGAATTGTTGGGGAAAAATCTAAATGACTAATTATTATGCGTTTGATAATTAGTGAATGTTATACATTTGACGTAAGCTCATGTCCTCTGTAAGTGTTTAGAGCCCTGTCCTCAAATGGTTTCATGTGAACTTTCTGTAACACCAGTCTCAGCAAATGTTTAGTCTATTAAGAAGCAGTTGACGGCCGAAAGAACACTTCAAGCTCTTTACTCTAAATAAGCCATAATAAACCTGCAGAAGCGTCAATACTTACTACGCCTGGTTGATTTGCGACCATGACTTATGAGAAAGTGACCTTTGTACTAGAAGGAATTGTTAAAATGATGTTCCAGATACTCTATGTTGACGCCTGTGTGAAACGCAATTCATGTGTTATCCTTTGTGACGTAAATGACCCTGTGCCAGCCCACTGCATGCGTTTACTTAGTATGAATATCACTCGGAGACAGAACTCCGAGCAGCCTTGATGCATATTCTGTATGTGAATCAACTCTGTCTCCTCCTTGCAAGAATAAATGTCCTGTGATTAATCATTTTTACATCGGCTTGAGTGAATTTTTCTAACAAGAATGTTTCGACTGTTCCGAGTATCCATTGCCTACCTGAAGGAATGAGATAAATCGGCCCATTTGAATCTGGGACTCTCCTTCAACAACGCTGGTGTCAGACACTGTAACACAAACGCACATACATGTCTTTTATTTCTCAGCAGTTGATCGAGAATTACCGTGTACCACTAAGGGCAAACCAAGGAGGAGAGTAAATAGTAATATGTGACAGATTACCTCCCTCTCCATAGTACAATAAGCCATTGTAGAACTTGGTTTCTGCCTGCAAGGGGACAAAAAAAAATAAATCAGGACACGGAATCAGAATTTGCATCTCACAGCACAACACACAAAACTCGTCACACTGGAGAGATTCATTTAGACCTAGCAGCGACATGCAGCTGTTTTTCTAGGAGTAGGTTCCTATTTTGTTCATCTCGACACACAGTCCTACCAATGGTGTCACACTATTCCACTGATCAACAAGTAGCGGGAACACACCAAGATATGCAGCAATGTGCCTGCGTAGGCAGAAGAAAAGGACTGCAAGCTAGTAAACACAGATGTAAGCAATGGCTGGCTTTAAAATACTGTCCTTTGGAAGGAAATGCTTTCATCACATTTGTTAGACCTCAAGGATACGCACAACAACATCCTTCAGAGTGCACTATTCCGACCATGCTTACCTCATACTTGAGCTTCTTCACTTCACTACAGAGAGCAGCATAAACAGTGATGACTTTGTTCAGAACCTGCACACAACACAATAGAAAAGTCATTATGAAAAAAAAAAAGGAAAAACAGGAGACTTCAAATTACAGATTGTGTTTTGTCTTTAGTTAACCGACCTTGTTGTCTGTTTTAATTAACTCCAATAAGGACGACTGCTCGTATGGGAGAAGCTGAAAGAGAGCAGAACGTATTAGGAAGGAAGTTGCACAAAGTGTATATGGTGGAAGAACAATGTCAGTCTTTACAGGCTGATGTTCAGCCACCAGTGTTTGGTGTTTCACCTTCAGGGCGATGGGGTCCAGTGTGAAGTCCCACACGTCTCCGATGGAGTCATCCAGAGCCTCCTCGATACCCCTCAGCTGAGAGGTGTACTCCTCCAGGAACTTGCTGTAGTTCTTCAGTTGAACGTCTGTGTGTATTTCTGCAGAGTGGAGGGTTTGATCAAGGACACTTCAGCAGAGTGATGCTGCAGATGAACACTAACCCTGATGTAAACTGATAGTTAACGGGGCCGGGGCCAGGACCACTTCTTTTTTTTTTGCTAAAATCTTAGAAACAAAGAGTCGTACTCTATCGTTTATAAAAAAGGAAACAAAATAAATATCCAACCCCATTTCGTTTCTGCTGGGTGCATGGGGATATTAACTACCAATGTCTATTTTATTTGCTTTAATGAAAGGATTGTGTGGTTACAGTCAGCTGTGTGAGCTGTTATTACTCTGAGCTGCTGTCACTTCTACCCAAGTGTCGTTAGGCTGTCAAACTGGTCAGCTGTATCGATGTGATTAACGTCAGCTAACTTTGCTGTTGCTTCATTTCACGAAGTTCTTCTTTACATTACAACGGGGCTGGGTGCGCCGGACGTTCACATGAAGAAAACAAAGTGAAATAACGTTAAATGTGTCCATATGACGAGCTTTTGTTTGCAAGTAACAGTCGGATTTGTTCCGTGCCAGTAAATAGACGGCGCCTAGTGACACACGGCAGCCTGCTAGCAGCGTAGCACTGGATGCTAATGTCGTGAAGCACGTCGCTATGTTTCACTGCAGGTCGGGACTGTACTTACTTTGGGAACCGTCGTCAAAACGGTCAAACTCCCAGTCAGGTGCGATGGTTTCTACCGCCATACTGCCAGCATAGGTGACCCAAAACACTGCTGTTAAAGAGGCGGGTTACACGGTCCCATGATGGGTCTCGTGATTTTGTGAGTGATCGCTAGTGCTCATGGGAAATGGTGTTTGTTAGATAGAAGGCTGATTGACAGATAGGTGGCTTGCTGGCTGGATGCCTGGCTGGATATATGAATGGATGGATAGATGGTTTTGTATATGTCCTTAAATAAAAATAACCAAAACATGTGATGCAACAACATCCATGACAACTAGACTATAATACAGTTTGGTCACAGGCCAGCATTGGACTGCTGTTAACAGATAGCTGTCTGTCTTATACCACTGCCACTGTATTTGAATATGCATGCACTAGACATGATAGTGGCAGTGAGGGAGTCACGTGGTGTGTGTATGTAGGTGTGTGCGTGCCTCTGTGTAAGGGGGTGTCAGGGTAATGTCACACTGAAGACTCAGGCACAACATTCAGAGGACGACAGAGTCCACAAGGAACAACTTGGCAGAGGAGTGTGAGAATAGATGCCTTCTTCTGATTTCACATTAACGGTAAGGGACTTTTTTCTTTATTCCTAATCATATGTTTCTCAGACTATCATATTGAAGTACATGTATACATGTTGGCCCATCGATTGTAGCAGTATCTGTGTGAGCAGACATGCTGGAGAGACTGAGACACACATAGAGATATTCAGCAATACAAATTGATTTGATCTGAGAATTAAAACTTTCTTTTAAGATCTTATTTCATCCTCAACCCTTTGGTCATGACCTTGGAGATGATTAGTGCCTAACTGTAGAAATCCCTTCATTATACTGTGTTTATTTGATGTACCATGCATTTCTTTAGATACCCTTGTGCATCTGCTACGGGTACAGGACTCCTTGTCAATAACATTACTTTGCCTTAAATGATTTGATATGTTTTCTGATCAAAGTAGTTTTGGTCTGACCATTTTGAGGGTTTGATGATTAGATATTGCTTGACTATGAATATTTAACATAATAAAATGATGTAGCTCCATCAAAGTTTCAGTTTCTGTCACGATTTATGTTTTGAATTAGTTATTTATTCTGTTTTATTGAGATGTTCCGTGTCTTGCACTTTATTTCTTTGTCTGTCTTACCCCTGTGAGGGTCTGCCCTTCCCCTAATTAGACACTGCTGCGTTTAATAACCTGCACCTCCTCAGTCTGCTTCACTTCACTTTCTGCCCCTGTCTGTTCCTCTCGTGATCGTCTGCCCCACCCTTAATTGTAACCTGCTGTGTCTAATCACCTGCACCTTCCCTGTGTATTTAAACCCTGTGTGTCCCTTGGCTCAGTGTTCGTTCGTCTGCAGGAACAACAAGTTTCTGCAGACGACCTGGTCCGACCTGGTCCGTCTTTCGTCTGTCTGCCATTTCCTCCCGGTACGTTTAGTGTCTGCTCCCCTTTGCCGTGTTCCCTGTTTCTTTGGATGCTTTATTTTCATCGACTTGTGATTCACACTTTTTTGTGTTGAATACTTTTTTGTTACAATTAAACCCACAATTATCCAACCCTCCGTTTCCCCGAGTCTCCCTGCATTTGGGTCCAGCCCTTTGTTTTCTGCAAAAACCTTACAGTTTCTTAACTTCCAAACATATTATATAAACACTATTTTAAAGCCTCTTCAACAGTATTGTTCAGAGATACTATTTCACACACTGTTGAAAAGCATGTTTGCTGATATGCCATGTTTGCAGATTGGGTAAAAGGAGGTTATATATTTTGAACAATGCCTCACTCACAACTCTATTTCCTCAGCTGTTTAGTACCTGGTCATCTCTTAGGAATTCCAAATGAAGAGCATTGTCAATGTCAGACAACACAGCCTCAGTGTTGCTGATGGGGAAACAAGCATGAAGAATGATAATGCAGGCAATCTGTCCCATCAGATGACTCGGCCAAGCTCTCTGCAAGCCAAAGTTGCACTCTTTATTTTTCAGAAGTGAAATAAGTCCGATCATTGAACAAGACATGTTTACTTCATAACTGAATGCTGCGCTTTCGATTGCATCCACCAATTCTATAATTCTTTATGGTGTTTCTCATTTTCCTTTTAGGCAAACTGTTTGTGACCAGTGTCGGAGCCACGCTGTTTCTCTGGAGCCAGAGCAGCAGGAATAACATCCTGCCAGCTTTTCACCATGTTTGTCCCAGAGTCACAAGATGAGCTACTGTCCCCAAGTGGCTCTGTGGGCAGAGGCACCAGCCAACAGTACGGATCCAACCCGTCCCCATCTCAAAACTATGGAAGTCCACAACCTTTTAGCTCTAATGGGAATATTTCGCTAGCCAACACCAGTCTGCATTATGAGCCACAGGAGACAGACTTTCTGCTCCCAAATCAACTGTATGGTAGGTCAAGGATCAGTGGATCCACGAGAGCAAAGGATGCAGGTGGCTCCGGTGCACCTGCTGAGTCAGTCTGTTCTATGGTGCTTCAGATCCTGGTGCCGTTTGTGCTGGCCGGGCTCGGTACCGTCTCTGCTGGGATGCTGCTTGAAGTGATTCAGGTGAGAAAACAAAGAAAAGGCGAGGAGGACAAAGAGGTGTTTTACAGTTTGGGTGTCTTTCCACATCCCTGGAAGCTAAATGAAGGAGGTTTTGCACGGAAAAGCTCTTCAATTTGCCAGGAAGTAAAGAGATGAAGAGAGCTGAGAATATGAAATAAACCAAAAAAGTATTTTGAATTTCAAAGTTGGTGTGTATATTTCAAGGGAGCATCACCTTGGCTGAAAACAAAGATGATTTATTGTGTGTTTGTTGTGTTGGTGTTGACCGCGGTTCATCTACTATATTAAGTTTGTGTATGTGTTTTCGAAGCAGAACTGGGACGTGTTCCAGGAAATCACAGAGATGTTCATCCTAGTCCCTGCAGTGTTGGGCATGAAGGGGAACCTGGAAATGACTCTGGCCTCAAGACTCTCTACTGCTGTGAGTGTGTGCGCCTGTTAACACACAAACGCACGCAGACATGTGCACACGAGCTAGCAATTTAATCCAATCACACGCGTACCATGATGTACACAAAAAGAGACCTCATGTAAGTAATCTATTTATAACATATATACAATCACAAAGAAATACCACGAGACGTTGCACAGAATATAAAATAACACTGACGATGCAGTAAAATGGACAGAGGTGGGCAATAGAGTTGGAGGGAAGTGAATAACATGGAAAATTGATTGACTGGGCAACTACAACCTCTTTCTCAGAATTATATTTTTGCCTCCTTGCATCATGGGTTCGCTGTCCTCGTGTGAAACTCCTCACAGAGCACGGCAGCAGAACAACTCGCAGCACAATATCCCGCAGAACGAAATGATGATACCGACAGTCCAATAATCTGAAATGATGTTTTCTTGGAAAAGAAGAGAATATATTGATCAAATATTTATTTTACAAAAAGAGTCAAACATAGTGTAGAGCCACACTGTTGCACTGAGTTAGCGCATTTGTTTATGAAGGAAAATCTATCACTCCTATTTGAGTCACATTTGCCAAATACTCCAGTGACTTGCTGCTCAAAAGTATCTAAAGTAATGTAAACTATGTATTCATGTCCAGTTTTTTATAGAGTTTCACATTCAGTAGTAGCCGATGAGGACTGAGTGCCATAAAGTAGTCGGGGTAGGGGAGTTAGAAAGTAATGAGAGCAGATTAACACATTCTTGGTGTTTTCAAAGAAGTTCTCGTCAGTCAGAAAAATAAAGAAGATGATCATCGTTGTCCTTTAAGGTCACCGTTTTTCAAGCTCATTGCTTGGTAGTAAACAGTAAAGTGATTTTATTTGGTAATTTCTTAATTGATCAAGTTATTAATTACTTTATAGTTTAATTTCCTATTTAAATGTTTGTATGCTTATGTGATGTAAACATGTATAGTTTGTTTTTCCCCAAAGCATTTTGTGACGTTTTTGTCACGATGATCAGTTTTGTCCTTTTGTTCAATATCTGACTTACGCACACTAACAATATAGAGAGTAGTCAAATTTACAAAGCCAATCAGATGAATTGTTCTTTATTGGCCATAAGCAACCTTATCATTTTTTTTTTATACATATAGTATTTCTTTTTTATTCGGATAATATTTACTTGTTATGTTGGATTCAACAGGAGTACACATTTTTCCAAATGATTAGTTATTTATTTTATGTGAGTTGGTGTAACATTATGAACAATATTTATCTGTTGAGGTTCAAAGTTAATTCTTGACTTCAGACAACAACAAAAAATGACGTCAAAATCCAGCTGCTCTGAAGCTCTCAATCATATTACACACCCTCCATCAGCACATTGAGTTTGCCCAGTTTTTAATGAGTTAATCCATATCTGATGTTCTCAGGTGAATGCACGAAAAATGGAAACTGCCAGAGAAAAGTGGTTGTTAATCGTTGGGAACCTGGGGCTCAAACAGGTACATTATTTTTATTTGGGGAAAAAGCACCTTTGTGATGGATTGCATTCATTTTATCTTCTAATTAACCATTTCTGTATCACTACCAGTTTATCTACATCATTTTGTTGGGATATATCGTGACTTGGGGATATTTCTCTCTACCACCCTCGTTTTAAAGCTTCAAGCCACAGTGCTCGGCCTGTTGACCTCTTTGATGGCGACTTTGCTGGGCTGGATGGCAGAAAGAAAGATGCCCTACAACCATGTGATGCTCCTGTGTTCAACCAGTGTTTCAACCGCCTTCATGGCTTCATTGCTGCAAGGTAACAACACAACTTGTCATCACCTTGAACCGCTGTCCTTAGACAGGTGCATCCTATTCCTACACACATCACAATTACATCTGTTCAAACCTTCTCTGCTTCGCCCATGACCTCAGGAATAAATTAAGCTTAGAGGACCAGTGTGTAGCTTTTATATGGGATCTATTAGCAGAAATTGAGTATAATAATCATAGCGATGTTTTCACTAGTGTATAATCACCTGAAACTAAGAATGGCTGTCTTTTAGCTTAGAATGAGCCATTCATATAAATAAGGAGCGGGTCCTCTTCACGGAGTCCGTCATGTTGCACCGTCATGTTTCTACAGTAGCCCAAAACGGACAAATCAAACACACACAGACTCAGAAAAATATGCACTCCTCATGAAACTTGTTTAGTTCAGTAAGCTGGTCTCCATGTTAGAAAACTTTTGAGAAATAGGAATATGAACAGAGGGACTGTGATAAGGTGCATCTAGGACACTTAAATCAATTCTGCATTGGTTTATCACTTTTGGTTGCAGATGGCTTCTGATCAACCAACAATTTACATTTCAGCACAGACTGATTTTGACAAGCTCAGTGCAACAGAGGCAGATGTGTAGCGAGGTATTATGTTCTGCATACATACGTCTATGCTTCACTTCCCTTTTCATTTTGCTCTTACATCGCCTTTATTTTCTTTATAATAAAAATTCTGCTGAACTCAAGACTTAAGAGCCATTCTTCCATTCAGATTGACATTAAATTAAGTTTATCAGGTCTTTCCAACTGAATGAATGCCTTCAGGACTGTTCCAATGTCACCTCATAGATTAAGTACATTACCTTGTCTTTAACCCTCTCTAGGTATTATTATGGTGGGAGTGATCATTGGCTCCAAGCGACTGGGAATCAACCCTGACAACGTGGCCACGCCTATGGCTGCCAGCTTTGGGGATCTCATCACTCTTGCCTTTCTGGCCTGCTTCAGTCATTGGTTCTACTCCCTCATAGGTAAAGAGAGACAAGCATGTTGGAGTCAAAGGTCATGTAATTTTCACTTTTGGCCAACAGATGGTACTCTGGAACTAACACATAAAGACCAGGAACCTGGTTAACAATAATGGTTATAAAAAGGCTTTTCTCTTGACAGTCCTGTATCCCTACGTGCTGTACCTGGTGGATCTGTTATTTTTGTGCCTGGTTCCTCTTTGGGTGGTGATCTCCTCCAAACATCCAGCCAGTCACATCCTGCTCCGCACAGGCTGGGAACCAATCATTACAGCGATGGTCATCAGCAGGTACTCATCTCTGTCGTCGCTGACGTTTTGGAAAGCATGCACATGTATTCAAGGGTACTTGATCTTTGTACATTTAGGTGTGGGGTGGATTTAGAAGTTTATAAATGAAGTCAATTATTAGTTTTTAACAATTTTCCTTGGCATTAAAAGGTCCAGGCCGTGAGTTTATAGATAATAATCATCTCCCTCACATCACTGCTTGTCAAAATACAGGTTTTTACAAGGAGAAATGTATGTGTCTTTGTTTTAGCATTGGAGGACTTATTCTGGAGAAGACTGTGTCAAATCCAAACCTGTCAGGAATTATAGTTTATGCTCCAGTCATAAATGGTGAGTTTCAATATTTTAATCATGGATGAATCCTTAAGCTACAACGCGACAAAGCTATTTTTTCCAATGCCACATACAATACAGGTCTGCCCTCACCGTACTCCCCCCCCCCCCCCCCCCCCCCCCCCCCCCCCCCCCCCCCACCTCCAGACTCTCCACTAGATTCATAGTCACTCCCCCAGGACACTGTTTTTATTAGGGCCTGTCGCGTCCGGACTTTCTCCCAAGAGAGTGAGTCCACTCTGGCTTGAGGTCCGTCAAAAAAATAGTTAAAAATCAAAAGAAATTTATTCTCTAACAAAAGCAAGTACAGTTACAAATTGAACCACACTATGAAATACAAAAAATATATTCCATGGAATAGAGGTCTAATGCGTTCTACCCGACAGACTGGCGTATTCCAGTTAGCTGCCCGACAGTCCGAAGAAGATCTGTCGATTTCTGGAAAGTCCTAGTTCTTATACTCTCAGAAAAGTCCACCTATTTTCCATACATGACCACAAGCTCAGTCCAGGGATTGGTTGAGACCTCGATCTGCACTACCTTGTTGTTGTCGTGATCTGTTGGAATTTGGTCAGCCACATCTTTCAGCAGCTGCACCCTTTGTCCTTGAGTTAATCATTAACTTATTTGGTGGTGGCGTAATACATTCAGTAGTTTTCCATTTGGTCTAAGCTTTCGACAAGTGAACATGTTGTAACACCTAGCCATCGCTAGGAGCGCTTTTAAACATAGTTTTCTCACAGGCCATACATGACTTATAGTTGACTTCCAAAAACTAGTGCCTTCAAAGACAAATTGATACTAAACTTTTCTGTTAAAGTTGCACTGAAAACACATCAAAAACTATAGTGGTCAGCCAGTTGATTGGAAACGTGTATGGGCCATTCTACCGAATTGGTTCAAAGTCAGGTTGGAAATATTTTAAAATTTTGTATGTTTTATTCCCAAAACTTTGTCCGTATATATATTGTACCATATCTAAAGTACACATATCTAGTAAAAGAACCGTCAATTTTTATCTTGTATTTTCAGACTGTGTTGGAATGTTTTTCCTCTCCCAAAAATTGTCACTACCGAAACATAGTAATACACTATAGTAAAAAAGTATTATTATTAACCTGTTAAGATTGTTTCCTTCCCTTCTCTGAAGAGTATTTTTACAAATATTTCTTGAAGGTTTTCACAATTAAATCAATAAAAATGAGATTTGTACCAAATTTCTAAGTTCAATTTATACAATTCGTCAAAATCTAAATGCAATATTTTTTTGTAAAATGCATAATACTGATCATATTGATTCCAGAGTTGATGATTGATACAATTGAACATACATTAAACCAATCAGTATCATAACATTTTAGTTGATAATTCAATATACTTTATTTTTTACAAAACATCCAGTGTTTTGGCAATGACTGCACTGTTTCGGTTGTGACCACAGTATTTTGTTTGCAAGGTTGTATCATATTTCCTCAACCTTATTGCTTAATCTTAACTCATAACATGCCTTAGGTTGGGAATATATTTCAAACACAAATGTTTTGTGGTCAATAGAATAATTTTATTTTTGAAGACATAACAATTGTTCATCCAGAACCATTTAAAGTACAAACATTACTTATCAATGGAAAATGACCCAAGTGGGTTCAGTAAAAGAGAACAAGAAAACATTGACAAATAACTGATATTATGTTGTACTGTATGTTTAAGGGGGTTCAGTGTCGGACACCATCACAAATCCATTCACAAATTTAGTTTTTCACATACTGCGGTGAACACTCTTGGGCTGATCTGGACATGCCTCTGTGTGACGTTTTCTGGTGGAGGGATTAAGGTGACGACCTTGTCCACTGTGTACCAGATCTTGTCCTCTCGTCGCGGTCAATAAAAGCGGTTTCGCCTAATGTTGTGCATGACTTTGACCTCAAGGGCACCTGCAGACAGATAACGGGTAAAATAAAAGGACATTGGGCGAGATATAAGTATTGCTTGTATTGGAATCTTATAAGACTATGAAATAAAATTTGATTCAAAGGGAATGGGCATATGAGAACGGAAGATGGCCAAGTGAGAATGAATGGAAAGAGACTTTACCATATGTTTCGGTAGTGACTGTTTCGGTAGTGACAATTCTACCTAACTTTGAGCATAACTAAAGAATGCTGGCAAGCGGATGGCTAGCATTCACATATTTGAAGAGGTGTACACACATAAAAACATAATACTTTACATTAAACCCCGAAACGTTTACTTAATTGAAGAGAATGTGTTCGGTAGTGACAATTAAGGTTACACACAGATTTTCAGACTTTGGAACACATTTATATCAAAAGTATGGGATTTAGCTACTTGCCATTCAGCCATGAGGGACAGGGATGCAGTGTCACTGCCTGGTCAAAAATGCAGGGGTGTGGCTAAAAACCAGGCTCAGCCAATGGACTAAAACTCTTGTGTTTCGGTAGTGACATGAAAACTGGGGACATGATTTTTTTTGGGTATAGTTTTTTAATTTTAAAATTAAACCCAAAATAAATCTAAATCTTACAACTTCTCTTTAAACTTAATCATAAAGATCTTTGAAATTACACCATTGAACAAAATCTAAAAATTGTTTTTAAGTGTTATTTACAGAAATTGAAATTTAGATGTCAGGGTTGGGGACAGCTACTTCCCAATAGAAAGTACCCTATAAATGATGATTTTTGTATATATTTAGCTTATCACTATCTAATTTAATGCCTTGGGTTTAAATAGACCATAACACATTCTTAGTAAATATCTGTCTGAATACTTAATTGTTTTGTTAAATAGTTTTTCTTGTTGGGGGACAGCACTTTCAACGAATTCGGTAGAATGGCCCGTATACGTTTTGTGTGGGGGAAACAAAACTGTGGTAGAATGGGCTTAAAACACAATTGTAAAACCTGTATGTGAAAGTAAGATAATACCTGTCTATTCATGGGAAGCTCAACGGATGACAGAAAAGGAAGATAGAACTATAGCTCCAACTGGTGCATTGTTATTTGAGGTCAAGATGACTGAAAGGAGGCTGCACGGTGCAGTGGCTAGCCTCACAGCAAGAGGGGCCTGGGTTCGATCTGGGTGGTCCTTCTGTGTGGAGTTTGCACGTGGGTTCCCTCCGGGATCTCCGGCTTCCTCCCACAGTCCAAAGACATGCAGCTTAGGTTATTTGGAGACTCAAAATTGCACGTAGGTGTGAATGTGAGCGTGAATGTTTGTCTGTCTCTACATGTGCCCTGCGATAAGCTGGCGACCTGTCCAGGGTGTACCTTGCCTTCGCCCAATGTCAGCTGGGATCGGCTCCAGCGCCCCGCGACCCTGAAAACGATAAGCGGTTTGGATAATGGAATGGAATGACTTAAAGGGGAACTCTAACAATTTTACACATCAAAGTGTTGGAAAACAGAAGCTCAGGCTGGGCCTGCTCCAACACTTATTCTGTTATTTGTAGCTGTTGGTGTCCCAAAGATGTCTGAAGAAATCACTGGAAATGGTCAGTTCGATGCAATACAGTTTATTCTTTGAGCAAAGTATAAACCCTGAGCAGTCTCCGGAGAACAACTTAATATTCTGCTCTGAACACTTTCTTATATATTTCCTCCGTCTGGAGCTAGTGCTCCACAGTATTCTTAATTTCTTCCTCTGTTGCCTTGGAGGTAATGGCACAATTTTATGGTGATGACATCTGCTCTGCTCTGTTTTTAAATTATTTCTTTTGTTATCGTTAACAGGTTATATGTTAAATTATTTAACTCATACTATTAATACTAGTTCTAATAAATTGGTCTCATGTATATTGAATATATTTGATAGTGCTGGCTTACTATGTCAAATCAAACTCCAATAAATGTCTGTTTACAACTCTCAGTAAGTACTACTGCGTGTGTGAAAAAAGGAGTATACATCCTTTTGTGGCTCTAGCTGTTTGAAATCTGAGCTTATCTTTTCTATTCAGGTATTGGAGGAAACCTCGTCTCCATACAGTCTAGTCGTATTTCTACTAATTTGCATTTGAATTACCCACCTGGAGAGGTTCCTGAAGACCGTAAGGGCTGCTTTAGCTCTTGCCGCACTTTCTTTGGTTCAGGTAAAGACAAAATGGTCAAACTATTTAAATAAAGAATAAAGCCCCTTCACCCACTACCCCAACCCCCACACACTCTGATGTTCAGCTTTGTCATGCAGGAGCAAACCATCGATCTGCTCAGGTTCTGCTTCTATTGGTGATCCCTGGTCAGCTCATCTTCTTACATGCTATTCACCTGATGAAAGGAGGCCAGACTTTGCCCAGTCCTCTCCTGACTGTTGCCTTCTTGTCTGCTTCCCTGATTCAGGTGAGTGAAACATCTGGTCATTTTTCACCCACATGCATCCTCTGTTTCACAATATCACTCGGGTCTGTCTCTTAGGTCTTTTTCCTGCTGTGTACAGCTGACTGTATGGTCCACTGTCTATGGCGGAGGGGTAAAGACCCCGACAGTTACTCAATACCCTACCTCACAGCCCTCGGAGACCTACTAGGGACTGCTCTCCTCTCTCTTGCCTTTGTCATGCTGTGGTGCATCGGTGACTCAGGCAGTGTGTAGGTTCACAGCAATAAAAGGTTTGAGGAAGAGCAAACGTGACAAAATATCCTTTGTAGGAGTGACATAACAAATACCAACGACAAAGAAACTGAAAAAAACTTTTTAATGTGTTCTAGTTTGTTTTTCCCCCTTTGCCATCATTATTAAACAGATTTAGAAAATGAGGGCTTCTTCTCCACCATTACCCTCATTTTTGTATCTTTGTATCTGAACCCTGATCTTCCCAGATGAGTCTACGTCTTGGATAGCTATACAGTTTCCTGCCTTTGGGACATTTACTAAATCGCTCATTGCGGTTCTGTTTTCTAGCAAATTGTCTTGTATTGTTTTGTAGTGAGCATACAGAAAATCCTATTGGGCATGTAGCATAGAACACATCACATACCAAGTGCTGATTAATTCATCACTTCTCGTTATCTGTCAACAAAATAAGAACTAAAAGTCTACATGGAGTGTATATGATTAGTATAACAGGCAATGTAAGATGGTAGCCTCCCTACTTGGTCTACTGAATTTGTATTTCAGCTATCTTTTTGCACATATGCATAATCTTACATTCTGTTTTTAGGTTTATTTTGTAACATCTGCCTCTTGGGACTACAGATGAAAATAGCCTTTTGGCTAACTCTGGCGCATTTACAGAAATGTTTTTATTAATGTGCACTGTCCCTTATCAAATAAACCAATAAATACAAAAATGAACTAGTTACGCTTTATTTGGGGTATACCCAAATAACATATGAAACTACAGGACAAAATTAGCAAAGTCCATCGTTCTGGGCAAATTACAAATCTCATCTAAGGAACTACTTTAACATTTAAAGGGCAGTTGGCTGAGATACTGGGGAGCTGTTATCAACACCTGATGATGCTCGTTTTAGGATACACTATGCTCCTCACCCCGCCAACATTCATGGGGGGTGTTATAATATTTATGTTAATAGTGCCATAGTGGATCATCAACTAGTGGGTGACAGTTATGTACCGCTCCTGCAATGTATAAATGTGGCGGATGAACCTCGTCGTTTACCCACTCTGACTTATGACAAGCCACACTACACATCGCTCTCCAAATAAATCTCGAAAAAAACGATCAGAATAAGTATATACCTTTTACATATGGAAAAGTGATTGTCAAGCTACACTTCAGACCAGTAAAGCAGTTTTTCAAAAGGCTAATGGGAAATGGTGTATACTCCATACATTTGCGATGATGGCAGATATACAGTATGTCACACTATATGAATCAGGCCGGCAGAGAGCTCGAGGTTTTATTAGGGCAAGCACACAGTATGGCAACAAATTATGCGGTATCTTTCGCAGTCTATTCAGGATGGCCATACCCCTGTTAAAAGGGGGGTTCAGTCTGGCAAATCCTCATTTAAAAACTGCCACAATTATGATGGGGGATGTGGTGTCAAATATAGTGAGAAGCACCTTATCAGGGAAGCAGGAGGGAAAAGGTATTTTAGTACGTGCCCCCAGGGCTTTGAAAAGACGCCCATCGGGTAGTAGGCATAGCCATCAGTGCTCTAAAAAATGTAAAACTGTTAAAAACCCAAGAGGCACCAAAAAAAAAGTCTGCTTTAGCAGAGCTCAGACCAAATGCTCCAAGATTTTGGCAAAAGTGCACTCTACACGGCCATCATTGAGTCCATCCTCTGCTCCTCCATCACGGTCTGAGTGCATCATTCACTCTGCCGAGAGGGTAATTGGCTGCAATCTGCCGCCCCTCCATGACTTGTTCGCTTCAAGGACCCTGAAGGGAGCAAGAAAGATTGTAGCCGACCCCTCTCACACTGGACACAAACTGTTCGAGCCCCTTCCGTCTGGCAGGAGGCTGCGGTCCATCAGGACCAAGACCTCACACCACATGAACAGTTTTTTTTTTCCCATCTGCAGTTGGGTTCATCAACAAAGCCCGGGACCCCCACTGACTTTGTCATCCCCAGGACAATTTCTTACCGATACACTCCCCTGCACATCCCTTCTATATTTAAATACACATTACACACACTTTTACATTACACTTACACCACTTGTTTAAAGTACTGTGCACTATATTTGATATTTTATTGTACATTTTAATATTTTTTGCATTGTGTTGTATGTTTAATGTTATGCACTATCCACCATGTAAAATTCCTTGTATGTGCAACTGTGGCCAAATAAACTGTTCTGATTCTGATATATAGATCCTAAATAGGACTGATGTGTGAGTTCAAACTCTTGCTGGTAAACACAAGCACACGTGTAAATTATGCTGACCAAGCATGACTATCACCAGAGGAATGAATTGGTCATTAAATAACAATTGGGAATGATTCATGCTAATGTGCTACCACAAAGAAGTCTTAAGTTCCAAGCGGTGCAACTGCCCCCAACCATCTTCCTCTTTGTTCACAAGCGGCTTCCTCCACAGACTGAAAAGGTGTGCAGCCTGGCTGCGTAACCACTACCCCCTCCCAGTGTGAGTGAAGCACTGGAAGACAACCTCAGTACAACCTCAGTTCAGTAACCTCTGACCTAAGTAACGAACGCACCCCCCAAAATCTACATGCGAGACTGTCTGTCTGCTTAGGGAGGCAAAAGCCAGGATAACTTAATAACACTAGCCACCGTCGTATAACTTATTTCAGGCTAAAAATGTCGGCCTTCCCGACTGACTGATATCGACGGATTTAGGTGTGTTTGTGCAATAGGTGTGGGAGGACTGGATGTACTCAAGGATGGACCCGCTCTAATGGGCCACCGCTGGAAGAGGAACCCTGTGTGGTTGGGAACCTCGCTCGGTTATAAAGGCCCTATCACCCCTGATGCAAATGCCAATCTGACCACTATTGCTTCCTAATACACAACAGCTAATGTCTAAGCATTATAATCACACTGCAACATCATATAGGACACATTAGCAGAGCATCAAAATCAATCTGAGTCAACCAAGTTAGTAAATCACAACAATACTTGAACAACACCATCTTGTAACAGGAATGTAATTTAAATCACCTGTCTAATGTATTTACTACTGTCTATCCCAGGGCAAGATCTCTCTTACCTTTAGGAGACTACAAGGGCCCCACCAGAGATGAGCAACACTGGACTTTGGTTGTGTGGAGATATTTTATATCTCCTGTATATACATGTTATTGATAACATTGTAAGTAGCTATTATAGCAGCTTATGTGCATTCTCAACACAACCTATAAGTATATTTTCAATTTGTAAGTTGAGCTTTGTGTGACCAGATGCACCCTGGTTGAACAGATGTGTTTGGTTGACCCAGGGGTCAGCCCTGATAAATTTGGGGACTTAGGTCTTGGATGTCAGGGTTCTCCATTTCTCTATCTGACCTTTAGGTTCAAACATATAGTTTAGATTAGTTAACGTCCAATGTATGGATGGGGAGCCAGACACTAATGTATGTGTCTCACTCCCACCTTTGTGTAGACAGAGGAGTATAAGACCTGTGTGACTTTTTAGTGAAGTTGAAGAGATCCTACATTCTAGCAAGCTGTGTTTTTTCTCCCATGATTCATGTCCAATAAAGAATTCTGAAAAGTTGATCTTCGACTCCAACCTCATCTGTGACCAGTCTTTTCAAAGAAAATCAACTACGACAGTTTGAATGCACAAAATACAGACCAGTTTTATTTGTTTTTTACAAAAATTAAGGTAAAAGCTTCCAAAAAGGAATAATAAAAAATGTAAAAGATAATACATGTCACATGTACCAAGCTCACAAAGAATCAAGTTTCCCTCCCGAAGCCAGAAGCCTCCAAAAAGCCTTGACCCTTTGTTGTCTCCTCCCATATATACCTTTCTCCTTAGCGCTTTCTGCAATCTCCTGGTCCATATAAGGTAGACAACGGATCATTCTTAAATCATTGGACAAAACAGTTTTCATAATCTTATCACTTCTGACAGAATTATTTTGTTAAGTTAACACTTTCCTGCTAACCCCCCCCCCCTTTGTTGAAGGTGTCTGTCTAGCTCTCATTGAACAGGATGTCTCCCTAACTAACACAATTGTTAGTTTACAACCTTTCTCCTCTGCCTACTGTCAATCATCAGGTCAGAGTGAGTTTAAATCAGAGTTTACTTATCAGAACCAGAACCGTTTATTGCCAAGGAAGTTTGCACCTACAAGGAATTTGTCATGGCGGGTGGTGCGTAACATTTAACAATAAAATTAAACAATCAACACAGTGCAAGAAATAGAAACATATTCAAATTTACAATAAAATAAAGTGCACAACAAAACATAACAGGACTGTAAAACAAGTGAAATGTAAGTGAAATGTTAAGTGTCCAGTGTGATTAAATAAAGAAACGGGGATGTGCAGGGGAGTGACCAGAATGAAATGTCCAGGGGATGACAGAGTCAGTGGGGGTCACGGGCTTTGTTAATGAGCCCGACTGCGGACGGGAAGAAACTGATCGTGTGGCGTGAGGTCTTGGTCCTGTTAAGCGGACTCCTGCCAGATGGAAGGGGCACAAACAGATCATGTCCAGGGTGAGAGGGGTCGGCTACAATCTTTCTTGCTCGCTTCAGGGTCCTTGAAGCGAACAAGTCCTGTAGGGACGGTAGATTGCAGCCAATCACCCTCTCGGCAGAGCGAATGATGCGCTGCAGTCTGCCCTTGCCCTTGGCTGTGGCTGCAGCGTACCACACCGAGATGGAGGAGCAGAGGATGGACTCAATGATGGCAGTGTAGAAGTGCACCATCATCATCTTTGGCAGGTGGAGTTTCTTCAGCTGCCTCAGGAAGTACATCCTCTGCTGGGCCTTCTTGGTGATGGAGCTGATGTTCAGCTCCCATTTGAGGTCCTGGGTAATGATGGAGCCCAGGAAGCAGAAGGACTCCACAGTGTTGACAGGGGAGTCACACACAGTGATAGGGGCAGGTGGGGCTATGTTTTTCCTGAAATCCACAACCATCTCCACTGTCTTTAGAGCATTGGGCTCTAAGTTGTTAAGGCCGCACCAGGTCACCAGATGGTCAGTCTCCCACCTGTAAGCAGACTCATCTCTACCAGAGACGAGTCCAATGAGGGTGGTGTCATCCGCAAACTTCAGGAGCTTGACGGACTGGTGACTGGAGGTGTAGCTGATGGTGTACAGGGAGAAGAACATAGGGGAAAGAACGCAGCCTTAGGGGGAACCAGTGCTGATGGTCCGGGAGGCTGAGACGATGCCCTGGTTATTAGGTGTTAACAAGCACCGTACTGTTGCTCAGCGAAAACAACAAATAAAAAATTTAGAAAACCAAAAATGAAATCGAGAGAGACATAGGGCGCTGTGTCTCTTGTAAGATTGTACCTGTTGCACAGACATGTTTCTGTTGTCACACACACACTCTGCTGCACGGACATGTGGGTGGGGGTGCACACACACACACACACGCACGCACACACTCACGTTCGTGAGGCTGTCCAGGTGGCGATTTCGTTGTGATTGGGTTTATGACCTACTTAGTAATACAGAGTTGTGACCCACATT